TATTAATTCTGTAATCACATATCCATTTACCATCCCATAGTGACTTTTAGTTTACACACTAATATCATGGTGAAGGAGAAAGGAAGTGCTTAATTGATTTAAATAAACATAATCATTATACAACGTAATGAGGCTGTGTGGAGGTAGGGACATGGTTGCTGGACAGAGGACAGAGGGGAAATCGGATGCCATAAAGCCTCTTACAATAATGCTGCCTCCAAAAACTCTACCACCAGAGGGACTGCTTCGCTGGCAAATTCCTCCTAAGAATGAACACAGTGGGAAGTGACCCATATTCATCAGTGTTTTCAATGATAATCATGTGCAGATATATACACATCCACTGCCAAAAAATGGTGTTCAATCCCGCTGAAGAAAAAAAAAAGAGGAATGGTCAAATAATTGCAGATCTATTTGATTCTTACCGCTTGCTTGGTAGTTATTAAAACCAGATGAAAAGAAGCCGTTTCATCAGAGAATGAGACATGTTGCCGTCCCTCACCCCCACTTCCAGAAAACAACCTAAAACAACTTCAGCCTTTGAGCACCACCTAGGGGAAATCTCCTGTTAAAAATCTACTATATCCTAATGGAGGAAATACTGTTATGTGTGACAAATTTGAGAGCATTCTTCATTAAGTTGCACTGAAATGTTTTAATTTTTGTTTAGCGATATTAACAAGGAAACTTCAAGTGTTGAGCCTTCAGTAGTGATTATGTTCTTGTTTGGTGCTGTCAAGTCAGAACTGACTTATGGTGGCCCTAATAGGGATTTAAAGGTAAGTGAGATATTTAAGGAGTGGTTTTCTCAGTTTCACTCTCCCATGGAGCTTCCATTGCTCAGGAGGGATTCAAACCCAGACCTCCTTAGTCTGTCACTTTATCCACTACACACGACGCTAGGTATCACACTGATTACTAGATACTAACTAAACTTCCACAGTTCACAGCTCAGTGGCTTGAAGGCCATATTTGACAGATCCAAGATTTAGATCCAACTACATGTGTGTTTTTATTTAAACACAACCATGGTGAGGCAAACTGCTAACTTGATCAGAAAAGCTCAAAACTGCTGTTGATGATGGTGGTGGTGATTGTTTCAACTTATATACAGCCCTATACAGCTAAAGCACTCTCTGGGCAGTTAAATATTATTCCTAATAATTATTTATTAAAAGTCTTTTAAACCAGTGGTTCTTAACCTTTGTTACTCGGATGTTTTTGAACTGCAACTCCCAGAAACCTTAGCCAGCACAGTTGGTGGTGAAGGCTTCTGGGAGTTGCAGTCCAAAACTCCTGAGTAACCCAAGGTTAAGAACCAGTGTTTTAAACCAGTGGTTCTTAACCTTGGTTACTTAGGTGTTTTTGAACTGCAACTCCCAGAAACCCCAGCCAACACAGCTGGTGGTGAAGGCTTCTGGGAGTTGCAGTCGAAAAACACCTGAGTAACCAAAGTTAAGAACCACTGTTTTAAATTACTCTTCACCCTCATGGCGATCAGGACAGTGTTGAAATCAAAGCAACAACAACAACAACAAAGCTACCATAAAACCTGCACCTTCTTTCAGACCCCTAAAGCTGCTGTTTGGTCTGTATGAGGAATATACGGGTATCTCTATCTATACTGCTTCCACAAAGGAAAATACTAGCCTAGATCAAGAAAATGACATGGAGACACCAATCTGATCAAATTAGTAGCTGTGCCCTCCTCTCCCAGAGCTCTTGTCTGGATTTCAACCCCAGAACAACAGGCATCTTTCCTGAGATGAGTTCCGGCTCTGTCCTTAGGCAGTGTAAGGTAGCTGTCTCTGGCAACGGAAGCAGAGTGTGGTGGAGCAGAACAGCTAAACCAGCCATTTCTCCTAAAGGGCAGAGCGGTGTGCTCCAGAAACAGCCTGGTCCTAAGTTGGCCCCCTTCTCTCAGGTGAGACAGAGGATGCTGACATGTTAACAACACTGAAGCATGAGTTAATTGCCAATAAAGTTGGATTATGTTGATAAAGGGAGAGTCACCCTATTTGTTTCAAGCAGCAACACATTTTGGAATGGCCCTGCTTTAGATTCTAAGGACAAAGCAGTAAATACAGACAGTATTTTTTTAAAAAGTCTATTCCCCTCATTGTTTCAAGGGCAGACTAGGGAACAGATCTAAAATCTTAGTCTGTCTAGGAATTCCTGGAGTTGAGTAACCACCATACATTCTGGCACTTTCCCCCAAAATAAGATACTGGGATTATCCACAAATTATTGTATATGATGGAGCTTAGGAACGACTTGATCAGCAGAGGTTTTGCAATGATCAATTTTGAGGCATGCTGGGAAACGGCCTTCCTTTAAAGAAGCATCCATTGACAATAACTCGTCGTCGTTTAGTCGTTTCCGACTCTTCGTGACCCCATGGACCAGAGCACGCCAGGCCCTCCTATCTTCCACTGCCTCCCGGAGTTGAGTCAAATTCATGTTGGTAGCTTCAATGACACTGTCCAGCCATCTCATCCTCTGTCGTCCCCTTCTCCTCTTGCCTTCACAATTTCCCAACATCAGGGTCTTTTCCAGGGAGTCATTCTCTTCTCATGAGATGGCCAAAGTATTGGAGCCTGAGCTTCAGGGTCTGTCCTTCCAGTGAGCACTCAGGGTTGATTTCTTTCAGAACGGATAGGTTTGTTCTCCTTGCAGTCCAGG